TGATGTGCCTAAGTTTTACTGAGGAACTTGTCGTAAGTACTTACCCCAAAACAGTACAGAAAACAAGTGTCAGTGGGCAGAAGGGGCAGCCTGGGGGCTGAAGACTGGGGAGCATGAGCGTGCTCTGCAGACAGCACGTGGGGAGGGGTCAAGATCTGGGAGGTGGGAGACATACATGGTGGCAGGTTACAGGAGAATACATGTGGAGCCTATTCCTTAGATACTTAGGAGCCATATTGAGTTCCAGAGTAGGGAAACTCATGTACAGGTTCTGTTTTCAGAAAATCAGCTGCTGATCCCCAGGAGGTTATGGCTTAGCTGATGCCCTCTTACCTGCACCCTTCCTTCCTACAGGCACCCGAGTGTCCGTACCTTCAGAATGGGCACAGCCCTCAGCTCCTGCAGAAACATTGGAGCTAACAAGCATTTTCTCTTGACCCTGCTCTAGAAATTTACACAGAGCATGAAACTGGATAGTGAGCTGGGCCGGCGGGCACTGGAACAGGGCACCATGCTGGGGCCACCCACAGAGTCTGAGCAGGCTGAGGAGCACCCCCGGAAGGAGACTGCCAGAAAAGTGCGTAGCCTGAGGGCTTTTCCAGACTCAAGGAGTCACCTACCCATTCCTGTGGTTGTCACCCCTGTGATGAGAAGACTCAGATGAGTTCCGCAGGGCCATAGGAGTTCCCATCCAGCCTTCTGGGCTCAAGGGTGTGGCCACAGTCACCTGTAGAACAGCTGCATGGATGTGATGAGGGCCTGACACTGGTGGGAACGGTAGGTGGCCTGTCAGGTACCCAAGAGCCGTGAGATGCCAACAAGCCAGGTGTCCTTTGAGGCGAGAGGTGGGAGCAGGGCACTCACACTGCAGCTGGCAGAGAGGAGACAGAGGGCAGCATGTGGGGCCTGAGGCCAGGGAGGGTGGGAGACAGTTTGTCTTGTTTCTTGAGAAGTGACCAGGAGAAAGTGGCTGAGCTTGGAAGTCTAGAGTGAAAATGTAGGTTGTGCCACCTTTGGCTCTTAATTGTGTGAGGCCTACAAAAGCCCCAGCCCACCGGGTGTTTGTTGTCTTACTGTGTGCCACGGCCTCAGGAATTTTTTGACATCCTAATTTTCTGTATTTCGTTGTGTGAAAATGTTCCAGTACTCTTTTTTTTTTTTAATTTAAAAAGGAGCAGGGAAGGAGAAAGAAGCAAATGCCCATGGGCTCAGTGCAGAGGCTGACTGCCCATTGGGCCTCAGGCACTCACTACCCTGGGCTATGTTTCTAGTGCCTGGCTGAGCATGTGGATGCCCCTCATCTGGTCTCTGGCTTTGAGGCCACCATCAACAGCTTTGATAAGAACTTCTCCGCCCACCTACTAGACCTGCTGGCCCGTCTGAGTGTCTACAGCACTAGCGACTGTGAGCATGGCATGGCCAGTGTCATTTCCAGGTCTGTTGCCACCTGCCAATGCCCCTTCCCCTGGACCCTCGCTCCCCCTCCCTTGGCAGGATGGTGGAAGAAAAGGATCTAGCTAGGGCTCCTTGAGCTGGAGGAAGTGGGAGGCCGTGAGAAAGGGTTCGCAGCTTTTGCCAGGAGAGGGTGATGTCCCACATGCCCTTGGGAATGTGCCCGCGTGGACAGTGGGACCACCTGGTGCACTGTGCCATTCAGCCATGTCCCAGTTCCTGAGTGGGGGCTTCTGAGGTGGCCCAGCACTGAGACTTGCTGCCAAGTTCCCGTCCCTGGGGTCCCCTCAGGCTTCTGTGGCCAGGTGATGTGTCAGAGGCCAGGAGAGGAGTCTATGTGCTCCAGTGGCCATACCCTCCAGGAGAAGGCTGCCGAGATGCCCGTCAGCACTGCTGTCTGCCTTTTGGTTCCTGTGTGTTTCAAGATCCGTTCTCAGTTTTGCATAAAGAGCTGAGGCCTGTGCTGGGGGGCTTGCACAGGCAGGTAGAGCACACGCCCCCTTGTCTTCAGCCAGGAGAGGGCCTTGAGTTGTGTCTAATTTGACCCCTACCTGTGTGGAGAAATGGTGCCACCAGCACTGCGTCCTTGCAGGTCCCTACAGCCATGCATCTCAGTGGGGCTTTGCCCACCTCTCCATGAACCCTGGCTCTCTTTCCCTCCTCACAGGCTGGACTTCAACGGCTTCTACACAGAGCGCCTAGAGCGCCTATCTGCAGAGAGGAGCCAGAAGGCAGCCCCTCAAGTGCCCGTCCTGCGGGGACCCCCAGCACAAACACCCAGGGTGGCGGTCGCTGCACAGTGAGCCCCTGGCTGCAACTCAGAGGAAGGGCTGGGCCAGGTGTGCCATAGTGAAGATGGGCTTGGGTCTGAGCACCTCCTTCCTGGAGCACGTGTTGTCCTACTTAGACACGTGTGTGCTGTGTGTCATTGCTGTAGAGTGCTGTCTGTATTGCTGTCTAGCTCAGGGCTCCTCGTTCTCCAGGCGCTGGGTGTCTTGATGTGCAAGCTGCCCAGAGCAGGGTGAGGTCTCCTGGACTTACCTGATTTATCTTTTAAAAATCAGGCTTCACCTTTTTTGGTGTTTTTTGTCTCAAATAAAGACAAAGTAAAAACAAGGCATTTGATTATAAGATGTGGTATAGGTGCCTGGCGTGGTGGTGCATGCATGTAATCCCAGCAGTTCGGGAGGTTGAGGCAGGAGGATTGCAAGATCAAAGCCAGCCTCAGCAATGGTAAGATGCTAAGCAACTCAGTAAGACTCTGTCTCTAAATAAAATACAAAATAGGGCTGGGGAAGTGGCTCAGTGGTTGAGTGCCCTTGAGTTCAATCCCTGCTATCCAAAAAAAAACCATGGTGTAGGGGATGAGAGGTGCCTGGGGACTAGGGCTGCAGGTCCTCAGCACTGCTTGCTTCAGACACTAGGGTGCAGCAGTGGACCTTGCTGTGAAGCCACGCCTCTGGTGCCCAGGCAGCTGCCTCTTCCCTGAGGTGCACCTCCTGAGGAGTGGTGCTGAGACCCTTCTCCTGTCCCCTGAGGGCTGGGTTCCCTCTGTTCATCAGATGCTGGCCTTGCTCACTAAATGACTGACGTTCTGCAGTGGGCAGCCCAGCTGTGGCACTGCTTGGCCAGGGTAGCGTGCTCTGGTCATGCCCAGGTCAAGCTCCCCTTCTGCTGAATTTCATGTATATCATTTTAAAAATCCAGTTCTACACATCTGCCTGGTGGGCAGTGAGGAAGGGCCCAGGAGGAGTGGTAACCAGAGGCCTGTTTCTGGAGGCTTGGAGCCTCACAAAGGAGGTTTCCTGAGACAGGTTCCAGGGTGGCAGCTGTGGTGGCTGCCTTGCAGAGGGGCATCTGCAGAGCCAGGGCTGCTTGGCTTCAGCCATCAACTGCTGCTTCCCATCTGCAGCATATGGAGGCACAACTAAGAACACAACGTCCACATGCCACCCCTTTGCCACAGAGAAGTGCCGGGCGTGAGCAGAGGGACTTGTTGGCCTGTGTCCTGGCCCTTCCTGCTATTCCTCCAGGGTTTGCAGGGGGAGGGGGAAGCTCAGGGCTGTGGACTCTGGGCTCCCAGATCCTCCTGCTAGATCGAGTTGAACTGGAATTGGGTCTGTCCTGTGGGATGAGGTTCTGTGGGTGTTGTTGGGCTGCCCTAGTTGGCCCCGATTGTTGAGTGTTCATTACTGTTGCCATCTGCAGTGCTGCTTGGTTAGCTGAGGCTGCCCTGGCAGTGGTGTCTTGTCTCTGCTCTAATGTGACTGGAGATTCGACACCTTGAACTTTTGGTGTCACGTGACTTGCCGTCAAGGAACATGGGGAAGAAGTGAAACTGGGTGTGGGTTTTTTTTTTTTTTTTTAATGCGGAACACAGTACCTCATGCCTGCTGGGCACGCATTCTAGCATTGAGCCCCATTCCCAGCTTTGGGATGGGCGTGCATAAGTCATTGGTGAGCTCAGGCGGAAGCCAGCCTTACCCAGCAGTCCCTCCCCTGCTCACAGTGGCCTGTGGACTCCTCTAGCACTGGCATCTGGGACTGATGCAGACAGCAGATGGCTTCCATCTGTGCTACCACTGCCTAGCTTCTGACTCTGCCATCATGCTGGGGCAAGGAGGTGACAGGTTCCCTCCTGTCCCAGCTCAGACCCTTCAGCTCTGTCCCCAGGAAAACATCCAAGGTGCCAACTTCTTGCCACTGCCCCTTTAAACTTAGCCTGAAATCTGTCACCTTTCCGTCTCCAGCTCCATGTCTCCCTGTCTGGCCCCTGATCCTCACCTGCATCACAAGGGAGGCTGAGCTGCTGGGCTCTGCTGAGGACCCTTGGGTTGCCCCTGGCTGGAGTCAGTCTGGGAAGGCTGTGAGGTTGGCCTGCACCTGCACCCCAAAGCCTGGCCGAAAGTGGGGGATGTTGCTACAAAGGAGGACCCACATGGATCAGGCTCTGATTCTGGGGCCACTCCTGCCCTACAGGGCAGGAAGGGCAGAAACCAGGGCTGCACGGGGAGCTTGGTCCAAAAGGACCCCATAGCTGGGAATGGACCCCAGCCTAGGCAGCCTCCACACCTACATGATCTGTGCTGGGACCCGCAGCTGTCTGGCTCCTCCCCAGTGAGGTCTCAGGGGCCTGGAGTAGGGCAAAGGGCTGGTCCTGTTTACCCTGCATGGGGTTGCTTTTCCCCTGGAAGTCAGAGGATTCACACACACAAGTCACTCACTGCCCCTCAGTTGCCTCCTTGTAGCTGGACCCCACACACAGCTCAGGCAGGCCTGGGAGAGGCGGGGCCTCCTTCTCCCTAGGTACACGTGCGTTACTAGGAGTTGTAGGGAGTGGCAAGGTTCTATTCACACCCATGCCCTTGTTAACTTAGTCGACAGTTATGGGGGGACCAGCAAGAAATGAAGGGGTACCAGGAAGCCACGGGAAGTGGACTCAGACTAGCCGGGCTGCCCTGGAGGCCCTCCCCAGGTGCATGTGCCCCGCCCCTCTGCCACGCGATTGGCCAGGCTGGTCCCCAGGCGGGTGCATAGGCTGGAGCCCGCAGAGCTCTCAGTTTAGTTCTGCAAAGACCCTCCAGACCACAACGAGACCCGGGACAGCACCATGGGCGGCCTCTGGCTCTGGCTGCTCTGTGCACTGTGGCCCCAGGGTGAGTGGGAAGAGGATGGTTCCCAGGAGTCCTCTCAGGACGTGGGGCAGGGTGGCCTCCTGATCGATGGCCAGGGCTCCAACTGGGTCACTTGGCCGTCCTCAGGCTGGTTCCTGGGGGAATGGGTTACATGGGTGGTCACTCAGAGAGGCCAGGGTACAGCAGAGGCCAGAGGGAGGAACTTTGAGAAGTGAACTGTAAGAGAAGCTGGCGCCGGGGGCGTTTCCCTGTCAGGATCGTTGAGACCACAGGGGTGAGGGTTGCAGGGCGGCTCCAGCTGCCGGAGGAGCCAGGTTCCTGGGTTCCACTGTGGGGCTGCGGGGTGGCTGCCCTGGGAGCTCCCTGATGAGGTATGGTTCCAGCCTGGGACTCCTAGAGGGCTGCTTCTGTTACCTCTCCTGGAGGTTTGTGGGGTGTTCAGGGACAGAAGTCTGAGGTAGGTGGTCTCTGTTACCAGAGAGGGCTGGGTCCTGGGTCTGCAGCTGGATATCAAGGAGCTTCCAGGACATCAGGAAGCAAGCAGCCTGGGGTGGGGGTGGCTGCTGTCGGCTGCTATGTGCCATTAGATGGGATCCTGAGAATGTAGGAGACAAAGAGACTTGTCCCAGGCTGGGCTTCCAGGGTCTCTGGCACACATGGTGTGCCACTCAATCTGCCTCCCCCCCACTCCTCGGTCCAGAGGTCTTTAGGCACAAAGCCCTCACCTGGGCTGTGGGGTAAGACCTTCTAGTCACTGGTCCCTGGGCCATTTGGTGATAGCCTCAGGGAGGTGCAGGCTTACTTAGGCAGGAGGCCTTTATGTCTGCTAACCACTCTTACCCATAGCGATTGCACTCAGCCCATCCTTGCCCCCCGTGGAGCAGTATGAGGTGGTGTGGCCCAAACGTCTGCCTGGACCCCGCACCCGCCGAGCTCTGCCCTCCCACAGGGTGAGTCTGATGTCCCCACCAGGCAGCCCCTCAGCTTTTCCTGTGGGGTGCTGTGTGGGTATCTGGGTACTGCGAAGCACAGCCCCAGGGCTCACAGGCAGACCCTGAGGCTGGCCTCTGCTTCCGGCTTGACCTGGGTCCCTCCCTCCTGTGCTCACCTTCTTCCTTCCTCCTGCCCCACCCTGTGGCAGAGCCTGGGGCCTGCAGGTGGGCATCAGGCTTATTGCCTCACCTCCAGGAGCCCTGCCAGACTGGGGGGAGGGTCCTCTGGCCGCAGGAAAAGGGCAGGGGCGCTTGTGCTGGTCCACACCACACCCCAGTTTTACTTGGCAGGGGCTGATCAGCCAAATTCCTCTCCAGAAGAGAAGTGGGATGATGGCTCACCACAGGGTTTTGTGTGTGTCTGACACACCTTCCGGGGCTCTGGGCTGGGCCGGGATTTCTCAGGGCTGGGAACTGAGAAGGGCTCCTGGCCTTCCAGGAGGATTCCTGAAGCCCAGTGGGTGTGCGGACCCACCTATGGACTCTGGGTATCCGTGAGGTTTGTGCTTGGGTGTGTGTGGATGTGTTTCTCGTGAGGGGCCTGTCCTACCCTGATCTTGCCTCTGTGCCCCAGGAACCTGCCATGGACCCATAGACCTGTCTGCTGCCCTGGGCTCCCACCTGCCCAGAGGCAGATGTGCATTGTCCAGAGGGCCGCAGGCTCAGCATGTTAAGTGTGGGGCCGGGGTGTGTAGGGAGCAAGGTCACAGGGTGCTGGGAGGAGTCTGGCTGGGGTGGCACTGGAGGGGCCTATGCACCCTACCCCTCCCCCCACTTTCTCTGCTGTCCTGGCAGTAAGGGCTGCCCAGCAGGACATCCATCCCGCTGCTTCCTCCAGGGAAAGGTGGCATTGTCCTTACCATCTGGGGGCTGGTGGAGAAACAGGCCAGGAGGCATGAAGAGCCTTATGTCTTTTTTGGCTCCACCTTCTGGTCTGTCTGAGCCTGAAGGGCCCAAGAGTCACCTGGGGGCTCTTGGGCTGCCTGGAGTGCAGGCCCAAGGCTGCAGGCTACTCAACCCTGACCCCCATTCAGGGCCTGTACCCTGAGAGTGTGAGCTATGTCCTTGGGGCCGGAGGACACACCTTCACCCTGCACCTGCGGATAAACAGGTAAGCAGGGGGCTGGCCCTCAGGTTGGTGCCCTGGCCAGCAACAGTGCAGGCTTCAGCACCTGCATCCCCCATGCTGGAGCTCAGGGAACTCCTGCGGTTCTTTTCCAGGGACCTGCTGGGCGTGGGCTACACAGAGACTTATTCAGCTGCCAATGGCTCTGAGGTGACAGAGCAGTGGCATGGGCAGGTAGGCATGGGGCTGCCTTCCTGGGGCCAGCAGGCCATGGGAGCCAGACCTGTGACCTCTCACACTTCTACAGGACCACTGCCTCTACCAGGGTCACGTGGAGGGTCACCAGAGCTCTGCTGCTAGCCTCAGTACGTGTGATGGCCTCAGGTGTGTACTCAGACCCTGGCAGGATGTTCCACTCTACAGACGGGTAAACTAAGGCCAAGAAAGAAGGGGCTTGGGATTAGACTTAGAGAAACGCTTCCTTCTTGCACGTGTTTGAAACGTGCAAAGGCACTTGTTGGACTTCTGTGAGGAGTTTCCAGCCCTGCCCAGCCTGTGGGGTAGGCCCACCCAGCTTGCTCTCCTGCTTACTGGGCCCAGGTGTCACCCATGGGGAGTTTGTGTTACTGGCTGGGGTGCAGATCAGAGCCCCTGGTCTTCCCAGATGGGCAGGTGGGGATGGGCTGGAGATGCCCACTGTTTCACTTGGCTCCCCTTCTCAGGGGCTTCTTCCGGGTGGGCTCTGCCATCCATGTGATCGAGCCTCTAGATGGAGGTGGTGAGGAGGGGCAGCATGCAGTGTACCAGGCCAGGCACCTGCAGCAGAAGGCTGGGACTTGTGGGGTCAGCGATGCCAGCCTGGACAACCTTCTGGGGCCTCGGGTCTCAGCAGCCTTCAGGCCTCAGCCCCGGGTAAGCAACATCTTGCCCCACCTGGCTGGTCCTGCCCTGGTCCCTTTGCTTGGGCCTGGGTGTTTCTGTCTGCAGCCCCAGAGCCATCCCCAAGCCCTGGAAGGTGGGTCTGGCTCAGACCCATAGCTGTGGAGCGGACTCTTTTCTGCTTGGAGCTGCCTGATGGTCCTCCCAACACTGGGCAGTGGTGGTCTCTGGGGCAGACTGTGCTGGAAAGATTGATGATTCTCCCCAGAACTGGCCCCTGTCCCGAGATACCCGCTATGTGGAGCTGTATGTGGTCACAGACAGCAAGGAGGTGAGGGCATGGGGGCAAGTGGGCTGGGCAGGTTGGGACATGGTGTTGGCCCAGCCTGAGGGTCCTGTGTCCCCAGTTCCAGCAGCTGGGGAGCAGAGAGGCCGTGCGCAGGCGTGTGCTGGAGGTGGTGAACCATGTGGACAAGGTGGGCTGCGGTCTTTGTAGGGCCCTGTGAGGGTTTCCAGCTCCTGCAGGGTTTTCAGGACCCCTCAGCCACACAGGTCCATGGGGAGCCAGGTAGCTGGGGGAAGCGGGAGTGGCCACAGTGGGTGGGGCAGGAAAGACAACCAAGAGAAGATCTAACTCAGGGCTCTGTGTGTTGAGCTTGGGACCTGGCCTGCATCTGTGCCCTGTCCCCCAGAAGCAGATGGGGGGCACCCCCTGCCTCCTACCTTACTGACCTTCCACCAACCAGGCCTGACCCAAGGATTTCTGTCTTCTGCAGTTTTATCAGGAGCTCAATTTCCGTGTGGTATTGGTGGGCCTGGAGATCTGGAGCAGGGACAAGGTCCCCATCAGCCCCCATGCCAACATCACCCTGGAGAACTTCCTTTCCTGGCGGGCACAGGACCTGATGGGGAGACACCCCCATGACAATGTGCAGCTCATCACGTGAGAGGGCCTGCACCCTAACCCACCATGGCAGGGCCCTGGCTAGCCCAGGCCTCTAGGGCAAACTCTCCAGGCAGAGCCATGAGGCCTGGGGAGGGGCTAAGGGAGCCACTTTCAGGCCATCAATGTCACGTGTGTTTCTAGGGGGGTCGACTTTACCGGGACCACCGTGGGACTGGCTCAGGTGTCTGCCCTGTGCTCTCGGGCCTCCGGGGCTGTGAATCAGGTAAAGGGAGCCCCTGTCCAGGTTTACTGGAACTGGCCTGTGGGTTGGCAGCCAGCCCAGAGGCTGAGCTGGACACATGGAGGCAGTCACGCAGGTCCCTGGAGCACACCTGAGAGGCCACCTCCCTCCCTGGGGACGGGTTCAACACCTGTTTTTATGTTTTAAGGGGTGGTTAGCAGGAAGCGGCACCAAGCCCCAGGTGCTGAAGGTGAGGGAGCACCTCACCTTCTGGGTGGATGGGTAAGGTGCTGCCCCAGTGAGTTCAGCCCTCTGCACAGGACCACAGCCAGAACCCTATTGGCGTGGCATCCACCATGGCCCACGAACTGGGCCACAACCTGGGCATGAACCATGACGAGAATGTCCAGGGATGCTACTGCCCCGTGCCACGGGAGGGTGGTGGCTGCATCATGGCGGCCAGCATTGGGTAAGCCTTGTGGGACACAGTGGGTGGGAAGGGGCAATGTGACAATGGCCCCTGACAGCCATACCCCCTGCTCGCAGCTCCAAGTTCCCCAGGACGTTCAGCAGGTGCAGCAGGACTGACCTAGAGATGTTCCTGGAGAAACCCCAGACGGGCTGCCTGGCCAATGCCCCTGACCCTGACCGGCTGGTGGGAGGCCCTGTGTGTGGGAACATGTTTGTGGAGCGTGGGGAGCAGTGTGACTGTGGCACTCCCCAGGTATGTCCTGCCCCAACCCCACCCTCTGCTCCTCAGCATCAGGGATGTGGCCTCTGTCCTTGTGCTGAGATGACCACCCAAGCCAGGTGCCCTGTGCACCACAACACACAAGGCTTTTGGGTGTCCCAAACAATCTGTAAGGGAGTCCAAAGGAGAGTGGTCACTGGTTGCCCCTGGTGGTTGGTGGGGTCCATCCACCCTGAAGTTGGCTCTTGCCCAGGGTGCAGCTGCTCATGCCCCTGTCTCCCAGGACTGTCAGAACCGCTGCTGCAATGCCACAACATGCCAGCTGGCTGAGGGGGCCAAGTGTGCCCATGGCACCTGCTGCCACGAGTGCAGGGTGAGCCCAGGGCAGCGGGAAGGAGGGCAGCCACACCAATAGCAGCAACTCCTGGGCCTGTTTCACATTGAACCTCTCCACGGGCCAGGTGAAGCCAGCTGGTGAGCCATGCCGCCCCCAGAGGGACCAGTGTGACCTGGAGGAGTTCTGCGATGGCCGGAGTCCAGCGTGCCCAGAGGATGTCTTCCAGGAGAACGGCACACCCTGTCCTGGGGGCTACTGCTTTAATGGGCACTGCCCCACACTAGCCCAGCGGTGCCAGGAACTGTGGGGTCCAGGTAAGGCCTGTGAGCACAGGATACAGGCCAGCCTCCGGGGGTGGCTGTGGTCCTTGGTCAGGCTAATCTGCTCTAGCTCCTAGGTGCACAGGTTGCTGCAGACACCTGCTTCTCCTTCAGCATCTCTCCAGGCTGCAGAGGCAGGATCACCCCCAGCATGGGCAGGTGAGCTGGACTGCAGAGGCCCAGGATACAGGATGTCCCCAGAGAGGAGTCTAGCTTTGTAGGGCAGGTGGCCCTCCAGGGGTTCACCCTGCCTTCCAGGATCCCAGCTTGACCTCAGCATCATGGTAGAAGGGAGGAAGGAGGGTAGGGAGGGAAGGAGGGTTTTGCCTATCTCCTGGAGTGCAGGGCTGACCATGCCCTGCCCTCTCTCTACAGGGCCGACAGATGTGGGGTCCTATACTGTGCAGGGGGCCGGCAGCCCCCAGAGCGCAGCTCCTGTACACTCAGTTCCTACTCGGGCAATTGCCAAGCTCTGCACATGGACAGCGAGGCCTCTGCCTATGAGCCTGTGCCCCAGGGCACCAGGTGTGATAAGGGGAAGGTGAGCTGAGTAGCCCAAATGCCCCATGCAGGCATGTGGGCCGCCCGGACACGAGTCCCACACAGGCCCCTCTGCAGATGGGTTTTCACACTCAGAGGTCTGTTGGTAGAGTGTGTGGGGGGGGTTCTCTGTACACTTTCAGGTGAGACTGAGGTGGGTGAGGGAGGCGGAGACACCTGTTCCCAGTTCATATTCTGGAACCCATAGCATTGCCGAGAACCCAGGACTCCAGAGGTTCTGGGCCTCCAGAGGCCTCCAGGGGTGGTCAGCTGACGTAGCCCTTTGGTTTTGAGAATAGGGCCAGGGCAGGGGTCCAGACAAGCTGCTTAGGAGGCCCCCTCTGCCTTCCAGATTTGCTGGGAAGGGCGCTGCCAAGACCTCCAGGTCTACAGATCCAAGAACTGCTCCGCCCAGTGCCACAACCATGGGGTGCGTGTGGCCTCAAGGGACAGCTGCCCCCTGCCTGGTGCCCCAGAAGCTGCTGCCATTGCCTGCATCTGACAGAGCCACTGGTGGTGGCAGCATTGGATGTAGGAATGGGGTCTCAGCCTTGCCCAGTGTGTCCATTAATGGGAGATCTCAGCAGGCCCCTTCTTGGGGCTGAGGCTGGAAGGGGTGACCTGGAATCAGGCCTGTGGTCATTTCCCCCTACAAGCCCAGGGTTGTGACCTGGGCAGGGGTGCATGCAAGGCTCAGGGCCCTTATGCTGCAGGAACAGCCTGCTGCTCTATGGGCTACATTCCCTAAGGCCCTTTGTCCCTGCAGGTGTGCAACCACAAGAGGGAGTGTCACTGCCACGTGGGCTGGGCACCGCCCCACTGTGCGGAGCTACTGACAGACATGCAGGCAGGTAGGGCCTTCAGGGCCAGGTCTGAATTCAAGGCTGCACCTGGTCCTTGCGAGGTGATATTTAGGGGATGGTTTGCAATCAACAGCCAGTCCTATGGCAGCCAGAAGGGAGCCTATGTCCCACCTCCTAGATGATTAAAGGTAGTGTCCAGCTCAGAGTAAAATATGCCATCCTCTGCCCAGTGCTCCGGCCCCTCTTCAGCCTGGCTGGGAACCTAGGGTCAGTCAGCCCCACAGTGTCTTCTTCCCCAGTGGCCACTGAGCATGTAGCTGTCCACAGCACCCTGACTTCAAGGGCCTGGCTAGGCTGCACCCATAGCACTGTGGACTCAGAACCTGCCCCCCACCTGCCATGCCTTCTGACCCTTTGCTGGGAGCTGGGAGCCCTGGAGCCCAGGGCATGGCCATGGCCGGCTGGGGAGGCTGAGGGCCCTCCCACCCAGGCTTGAAGCTGTCCAGGCTGCTATGAGGCCTGTGTTCCCCAGCACCTGGGAGTCTCCTGGTCAGCGTGCTGGTGCCCCTAGTGCTCCTGATGGCCATGCTGGCCACCCTGGCAGGCGTCATCGTACACCGCAAGGTCTGGAGCCGTGTGCCCAGGAGGTGAGAACTCGCTGGTTGCGACAGATCTGTGTGTGGAACATATACTTCCGGGCCTAGAGCTATTGGGAAAGGGCCTCCACTACTGTTTGAGGAAGAAGCCACTTCTCACACAGGTTGGGGGTGCTGTGGGCTGGGCTCCCGGGTGGCTGTAGCAGGGCTTGAGCCCAGGAGGTGGCTGGGACCCACCCACCACCTCAGGACCCTGCTGGGGCCCTTCCTTTCAGTGGCTCAGACAAGGGTGGTCTGGGCTAGAGGTGGGGTATGGTAAGTCCAGAGATGGGGCCCCCACCCCCAAACCAGGACCATGAGCACCCCTTTAGGATCCTGCTGTGCCCTGGGCCAGTACCTTGACTCCAAGCCAGCTGCAGCAGGATAGATTTGCCTGGGACCTCTGAGCACCTCTCCAGTGTGACTGGGCCCCAGGGATTGCCCTTTCAGGGACATGCACTTGGTCTCCTTGTGTCTTATGGCTATGACTATGTGCATTGCAGCCTGCATGGGGTCTGCCAGAGCAGAGGGACCCCAGAAAAACTAGGCTGGGGGGCACAGCCAGGAGACCTGAGCCCTGGTGGGGACACTGACTGCTATTTCCTCTCTTCCTCTCCAGGAGTGTAGCACCCAAGACCACCATGGGGCTCTCCAACCCCCTGTTCCAGGAGGCAGGCAGCAGTGGGCCAACCAAGGGCAGGGCTCCAGGGCCCCCAAAGCTGGTGTCTACCACGCACCCCAGCCAGCCCGTCAGAGCCACTGTGGCCCCAAAGAGGCTGCCCCCTGCAGTAAGCACCATCCCCTGAGAGGCACCTGGACCCCTAGGACTCTCTCTGTCCCAGTGTATGACCCACTGGGGACATCATGTTAATTAACTCATATGTCCCTGTGTTGGCCTAGGGCCAAGAGAGGCTGCTGTGGTCACCTGTGGTGCAGGGTCCTAGGGTCTGGGAGTTCAGGGTGACCTTTTGGAGATCTGTATTTGGAGTTTGACCTTGAACTTGTGGCTCTGGGGGTTCTCAGCCTTCATTCTGAGAAGATGACACCCCTGCTGCCTCCAGCTCTGGAATGTGGCCACGTGGCTGAGGGATAGGGATGGCCTTGTGTCCAGGCTCAGGAGCTGCTGGTTCAGGAGCTGGGGCAGATTTGTCCCGTACGGAGAGGCTTTGCTTGGAGGGGCTTGATGGGTACTAGGTGGGCACTCAGCCTTGCCCTCTGGGACCAGGCTCACATTCCTGTCCCCTGCAGCCTCCAGTCATGTCCAGTCCACCCTTCCCAGTCCCTATCTACCCACAGAAGGCACCAGACCAGGTGAGTGGCCTTGATTGGGATGACCAGGTGTTCTGAAAGTATCTGAGCTGTCCCAGGAAGCAGGGGGCCTGGTGGCTGAATGGGGGCACTGAGGCACAGGGAAGGCAGGTGAGCCTGGCCTAAGATGACATTAAAATGATTCAGTGAAGACATGGGGGCCAGGGGGGCACAGATCAGTCCTCTAGACTTGAGATAGGACTGGTATGTGGGGTCCTGACTCCTGTCTCCCCATCAGCTCAGACCTGCTCCACCCACCAAGCCCCTCCCAAAGCTGAAGCCCAAGCAGGTAAGAAGCCTCCGCCTGTGGGGCCCTCGCCAGCCCTCATGACACTTCCCTTGGGATATGGCTTTGGGGTTTTGAAAAGGTCTCTCACAGCGTGACTCACTGGAGCCTTGCAAGTTGAGGTTAATTCCTGGACTCCCCTTTGCCCCTGCAGTGTCACAGGCCTTCCCCTAGCATGGGCTGCCTGCCCCAATGGGTACCCCTGAAGTCCCTCTCCCACCCCCATGTCGCTCCCATTCCTAGAACCTGTGGGAACAGGTAGGCCCTTGAGCACTACCTCAGCTTCAGCCCTGGATGTCACTCTGTGACCATGGACCGTTCCCCTCCCGCTGGGCAAACTCAAGCTGCAGGACTGACCCAGCTTTCTCTCCTGGTGTCTGGCATGGCCCCATCTGTACAGGTTGGCTGTCCACCAAGTGTTGCTGGATGCCCTCCCAGGCAGGCCTCTGTCTACCTCTAGGTGGTCAAAGGTGGGGATCATGGTGGGCAGCTGAGGGCTGGGAAGAACCACAGAGTGGCAGGGTCCTAGGAAGTCTCCCCAAAGGTGGCTTGTGTGGGGCCTGAAGGTAAACACCCTTCCCTGCCTTAGGGAATTATTTAATTTTAATTGCCAACAAATTTTAGATTTATAGAAAATTGCAGAGATGGCAGAGTCCTTGTGTTCCCTCCATAGTCCTCCGGATTAGCATGGACACAACCTGAGCTGCTCCTGCCTTCATGAGCAGGCAGTGCTTGGCCCACATGGTGCTCCTGGGGCCCAAGTGGCTCTTGGTCCTCACCTTGCACTTTGCAAATGTTGGCTCAGTTTTGTCCCTTGATTTGGGTTTGTCAGAGATGATGGGTTTGGGGCAGGAATAGTGAGGGAAGTGTCCTTTCTAGGATGTTGCCCAACATTATCCTGGGCCTGGTCCCTCATATCCTGTCACAGGGATGTGACACATGGCTTGGTTGTGTCTGCAGTTTCTCCCTCTGAGCTGTGTGGTTAATGAACACAGAAGAGAGGCCATTGAGGATTCATGATTCTCTCTTCAAACTGGCCCACTAGTGTTATCACCCATAAGTAACTTGACCCCCAACAACTGTTACCATGGTGTTTGCTTACTAGTGATTTTCTCTTTCCTTTTTAACTTTTTGTTTTGAACTAATTTAAGATTTACATATTGCAAAAATAGTCCCAGGAGCCAGGCTCTGAGGCACAAGCCTATAATCCCAGCACTCAGGAGGCTGAAGCAAGAGAATCTCAAGGCCGAGGCCAGCCTGGGCAACTTAGTGACAGCCTGTCTCAAAATAAAATAAAAAGGTCTGGGAGTGTAGCTCAGTGACAGAGTGACCCTGGGTTTAATTCCCAGTACTGGGGGAAAAAAAAGACCTAGAAAGGGTCTTAATGGGAAGAACAGGGACAGAAATGGGCAGAGATATTTCTAGCCAAGGACAAGGAAAAGCCAGGCAAGAAGGAAGGCCCGGGTGGTCTCCGGTCACACTGTGCCTGGTCTGAGGAAGGGAAATGCTCCACAGTGCAGTGCCTTCTCATGTTGCTGAGACCTACAGTGCTCACCCCAAGGTACCCTTTTCACAGTCCCCCTGCCCTGGGAAAGGATACATGCTTTAGTAGTTAATTATTGGTTTTTGAGCTTCCAAAGACCCACATTCTGGCAATTATAGAACCTTTCAGGGATCATGAGAGGGTGCAGGTGATGCTGCAGTGGCCTGGGTAGTTTGCCAGGACAGGGAGCTCCTCTGCACTGGGGCTTTAGCTGTCAGGTGGCGCGGCCATAGAGGGCATTTCCACAAAGAGCTTAGCAGACAGAAGCCTGCAGCCCAGCAGGAGCAGAGCAGAGGTCCATGGGGAGTTAAGTATGGGCCAAGGCCTGGCCCACTTAAGTGGCCTCTTCATCAGCTGTTTCTGCTCCCTCCCAGCCTGTCAAGCCAACCTCTGCACCCCCATTGCCACCTGTCAAGCCCAGTGCTGGAGAGACCACACCTGGAATGACTCAGGTGAGCCTCCCCTGCACACAGTTTGGAGTCTACCTGTGCCAGATGTAGAGAGCTGCCCCACTCCTGACTGGCACTGCCCTGCAGTGTATATGTGTGGCATGGGGAGGGGATTGATTTCTTTAAATTATTGTCTGACAAACTTTGGGGATTATCTGGGAGAAAAAAAGAAAAATTCATTAACTTTGTTTTAATAATCTGTCAGAGTCTGTCAGAGGACTTTTCAGTGACTGTCACTTCAACTGGCTGTCAATTTTGCCTTTTATCCCTATTAGAATAAGCAAATCTACCCTCCATATAAAGTATTAGCCATTAATACTGTGGCTACCACAGCTGTTGTCATTGTATGGACAGCACAGACTTACTGTTGGGTGAACTAAGAATATACATTTTAAGAAATATGAAAGGTGGGGCTGGGGTTGTAGCTAAGTGGAGGAGTGCTTGCCTAGCATGTGTGAGGCACTGGGTTCGATTCTCAGCACCACATAAAAATAAACAAATAAAATAAAGGTATTGTGTCCACCTACAACTACAAAAAAGAAAGAAAGATGAAAAGAGCCTGGTGCAGTGGCGCACACCTGTAGTTCCAGGGGCTAGGGAGGCTGAAGCAGGAGGATTGCAAGTTCAAAGTCAGCTTCAGCAACTTAGTGAGACTCTGTCTCAAAAAATAAAGAAAGGGCTAGGGATGTTGCTAAGTGGTTAGGGGTGGGGGATGAACTGTGAAAGGGAATATCCTCTTGTGCCCTTCGTAGCACATGATTTTTAACAGCAACCTATCTTTCTCCTGTAAGGGGGTCAAAGGCCCCAAAGTCCCGCTGAAGCCCCGCATCCGAAGGTGACAAGGGCGCCGGCCCAGTGTCCCGCCACTGCACAAGTCTGGAGAGGCACTTCGGAACCAAGCGCTGGCATCCCGGGCTCACTACCTGGGCCTCCACGGACCTGGCTGGACGCTCGGCTCCACTCAGGACTCTGGCCTGCTGGGCCTTGCTGCCAGGGGCCAGTGCTCGCCGGCTGGGCCCGCACAGCGGCGTGTGCAAGCGCTGGGGCGGGTGCACTCGGGCGGCCACTAGCGAGGGCGGCTAGGCGGTTCCCGGCGCTAGACTTCCTAACAATAAAGAGCTGTGTTTCCCCAGCAAACTGTCGCGCAAGTTCTGTGGGGCGGGAGGTCCTCAGTACACAGTCAACCTTCCTTTGGCCCGGGATTTAATCACAAGCCCTCGGTGGTCCAAAGAACTCCTCCCGGGCCCACCGAGCAGCCAGGGCCCGTCAGACCGCACCCGCCCCTTCCGTCGCCCCGCCCCGCCCCAGCCACCCTTAGACCCGCCCCTTCCGCTTCGTCTCCCGACAGCAGCTCCACGCCAGTCTGTGCCCCGCCCCTTCTGGTCCGTCTCCCGGCAACAGCCCAAGCCTTCTGCCATGCCGGGCTCCAACAGGCGGTCTCCTGCGGCGCTAGGGCCGCTGCCGGACGCCCTCCGTGGCCTCTGTGCCTGGCTTGACCAGCTCCCGCTCAGCCGCCCCAAGCGCCACCTGACCCGGGACTTCAGCGACGGCGGTGCGGGCGGAGCCGCGGAGGCAGGGCACGGTGGTAGACGAAGGTTCCCGAGGGGTGGGGACGCCTCTGCGTCCAGCTCGATGTTCCCTGGGGAAGGTGGGGTGGGGTGGGGCGGGGGCACAACGCAGGCCTCCATCTCTCCCTGGGTAAGCACTGGCTGAGCAACCCCAGTTCTCTTAGCACATGGTCCCTCCCAGATCCAAGTTCAGAAGCCCCAACCAAGTCTCCAGGACAAGCTGGTGCCTTTCCTGCATGCATCTCAGGAGGCCTTAGGAACAGTAGCAGCCAGGCCTAAGTTGGACATGCAGGCTTACCCTTCCTCCATCCCCTCAGTGCTGGTGGCCGAGATCGTGAAGCATTTTCACCCGCGCCTGGTGGACCTGCACAGCTACATCCCTGCCTGCAACACTGACCAGAAGCTAAGCAACTGGAGCCTTCTCAACAGGCAAGGGCTCCAGAGGTTTTCCAAGGCTGGCCTGGGGAGCCAGCTCTTTTGGACCGAAAGGTGGTAGCCAACACACCAGAACCATTGATCCCATCCTGTGTGCACTGAGGGAGAAGGGGAAGGCTGGCAACAAGTTTCCAGCTGTGGGTGCCAGACCCTTTTCAGTGCCAGTTCTGTCCACAGATCCTCACCCTCAACCTAGGGCTCCAGGGCTCTCCCTGCCAGGACAGCCTGTCGGTGTGGGTCTGCTTCCCAAATCACTCATTAAGCCAAGGGAAACAGGCTGTGCTCCAGAGCTGCAGACTGGCATTGGACAGGTCCCTGCCTTCATGGAGCAGGGAGTCTCATGGTCAGCAGATGGATAACAAAATGTAATCAAAGTTTTGGGTGTGGTAAATGATGTGAAGACCAACGGCCAGGGTGGGGCAGACATGTTGCAGGTCAGGGAACCAGGGAAGGCTCTAAGGAGTAACAGTGTGTAGAGTGATGGGGGAGACCTGTGGATGTGCAGGAGGGAGTGGGGAGTCCTAAGGGTTGGCCCAGAGGTCTTGGAGGCCACATGAGGACCAAGCCTCCAGTTGAGGCAAGTTAGAGGCACTGCAGGGCTCAGGCCTGGGCACATTCTGATGGTGCATGCATTTCGAAGGGCTGGAGTGGAAAGGATCCTAGGGAAGATGAGGGCATTGCCCTGACCCAGAGGGGAAAGGGTGCCTGCCATTGGTTAGCCCTCTTATGTGAGAGGAACTCAGATTCCAGGTGTTTGGGAGGTAGGTCAGCAGGACTTCTCAGAGCAGAGAGCAGCATCAGTCAGGAAGATGGGTACTTGTGCACAGTCCTTGAAAAGCCTGGCCTGACAACCTGGCGCATGAAGTGTTCTGTGGCCCCCTGATGGGGTATGGGCCACCCATCAACCGAGTGACCACTGGGCCTCTGGAGGTGCAGGCAAAAAGGGGCCTCACTCAGCCTCTCCCCTCCCAGGAAATCAGGCACTGTACTGTGGCTCAATACCTGGCCCCTGGGGGGCATTGCTCTGAGGGTGCACCTTGCTGCTTTGCAGGAAAGTCTTTCGCAAGCTGTGCTTCTGTGTCTCTGAGGAGGACATCCGTAAGGTGGTAGCCAATGTACCTGGGGCAATCGAGCCCATCCTGTGTGCACTGAGGGAGAAAGTGGAAGCCAACCCTGCTCAGGCAGGCTCACGTGGCACAGCTCTTCATGTCTGCAAATTGGTACAGCCCAGGAACAGGCTGCATCTGTTCCCATTTGCATACAGTTAGATAATCTTCTATAAGAGATAAAGCCCACAAATAGATGGTGACAAAGCCCCCACTCCCTGTGGCCCTATGGTCCAACTGAGGCAAGCCTCACATGAGGCTGTTGTCCCCATCAGCTCCCTTCCCTGAGTGCTGCTGTCCCTCACTCCCTGCCCAGCCTGACCCACCTGCCTCAGGGTGGTGAAAACACCCTGTCCCTTGGGACAACCCTACCCATACCAGCTCAGTTTCCCTGCCCCTTCCTGTCCTACAGTTTGCTCCCTAACCCCCACCCCAGAGTGGTGACTGGGAACACAGGCCAGCACATTCATCTTCTACATTTCACTTCCCAACCTTTAAAATCTGCAGGATCCAGGATTCTCCAGCATGGATGCTGTCCATTCACAGGCAGGTAGGACTCAAATCCCTGTTGCAGGCAAGTTTGACCTATCAGAGGCCCTCTTGTCCTCCTGTGAGGGGCATTACCACATCCCCAGACTGCCCTGTGGCACTTGCAGGCTCACACACCTGAAAAAAGAGGGCCCAACAGGCCCCTGAAAATAGTTTTACTTGCAGACACCTAAGATGGGGCCCTGGCTCCATCAGCACCTGGAGAGCAGTCCCCTAAGGGGAGTCCACAGACCATTCATTGTGTCTCCAAATGGAACACACTTCAAAGTCACCCAAGGCTGTGCAAGCCCAGCATGATGGCATCTGAATCTGCCTAACCCGTGGTCTGAACACCCCTCCCACCCACACAGACAGGTGCACACCCTTAGAGGCAGGGGACCTGAGCTGATGGTGTTTGTCTGTGACACAGGCCTGCTAAGCCCCTCAGCTCCCACCAGTGTGAAGACCCTTCAGAAGCAGAGGGCCTTGGAGAAGAAGGGCAGCTGTGCTTGTGAATGGTAGGCCCTGTCTCTCAAGCCCTCTTCCAGGCCTTCCTCTCCCCTTACTTCACCAACTGGATTAAAGTGTGGTATCTGCCTTTCAGTCAGGACCCAGCTGAGGGGGCCTGGGAGCACCTGGCCAAGATTCAGCAGTTGCTGGAGGACAAGGAGCAGGCACTGGACATTCTGCAAGAGACAGTCCAGGTATGGCCCAGCTGGGCACTCCTTCCCAGACATCCTGAGCTGCAGGATGGGGAATCAGAGGGACCTGCTGCCTGCACTGTTAGCAGCTTCAGTCCAATCCCCAGCTGAGTTCTTGCCATGCTGGCTCTGTCCCAGAGCAGGGTTTCGTAGTGGGTGGAGCAGACAGAACCTTGGCAGGAAGAGTCCACATTTAGTTTGATTATTTAGAAAACAGTGTATGGAATATTCCAGTCATACCCAGAAGCAGAGAAAAGAGTATAAGTCCTTCCCACCACCAGGTATCTACTGCCAGCCTTACCACCTTATCAGTCATGAGCCCATGTGCGGGGGCCACAGGCCAGGCCCCAACAGAAGTGCTGGGCCCAGGTCAGGGAGCAGAAGATGCTCCCTTTCTGGGAAGTGAATGGGGTGGGGTGCTGATTAGAGTCTCCTGCTTGCTCCATTCCAGCCTGGGTGGGACCTCTTCCTTCTCCCCATCTCCCAGGGGGCCAGGGTCTGGCAAGCATCTTCAGCCTGGAGCTCTGTGAGCACATAGGTATGTGTTGCTCACCTGTTTATATTGTGCTTAGCTGGCTCTGTGGTGCTCACCTGACTCTTCAGGAACACACCTGCCCCTCTGCTGTCTCACAGGGGCCTCCAGGGTTCCTGTGCTCAGAAGGGCTCCTGCTGCTCTTACCTCTCCCCAACCTTGGCAGCACAGGTGGCAGCCCAGGACCCATGGCAGTGTAGGGGTGGGGCAGGCCTGCTGGATGGGCCTCACTGTTGCAAGGCGTCAGAAATCGCAACAGCATCTCAGTTCCTGAGACCCAAATCTTGATGAGTAGTCTTCTTGAGAAAACAGGAAAGTGATATCATTGTGTGGCTTTGGATGTGCTGAACGCCCTCTTGTCATCAGAGGGCCAGCAGAGAGGAAGCTGTGGGGAGGAATGAAGGGCAGCTCGCAACCCTTGCTGTCCCCACTCTGGCTCTGGCTTGTGGGCTGACCCCGTGAATCATAAGTACTTCATTTTAGAGAACCCAGAGAGGAAACAGCTCAACCTGCCATCTAAGGGTTGACACATCGAGGGCCATTTGCATGTTACAAAGTGAGATACAAACCTTGGAGTCAGAGAGACCCCAGGAGTCATCGTGGGGCAGTTTATGTGGTGGTGGGTGGCAGCTGGAGTGTCGCCCTGGTCACTCTGCCCCTCGCAGCTTGTCACTGAGCCAGGGGCACTGGCAGGGTGGCCAGGGTGTGGGCCATGTGGAGCAGCCACACCACCTGCAGGCTCAAGGAAGGTCCGTGTCTTGTTTTGAGTGACAGGAGGCCACCCTTGCCCACCTCCCCACCTCATGCAGCCTTTTCACACTCCTGACCTTCACCTGGACACATGGTTTGGAGCAGACCAGCCTTTTCTAATCCAGATTTCCCCATTTCTCACCTGGGGCACATGACAAGGCCCATGCTGCTAGATGGGGAAGGTTTGGGATATGGTCATTCTTGAAGCAGGTGTGGAGGGCCACAGGCACCCCAGCCTGAGCCTTGCTGTGGCCACCATGTCTGAGGCAGATGTCTCCAGAGGGACTTTCTGCACCTTCATTCAATTAATTCAAGGTTTTCTTGGGTTTCCAGCTTTTAGAAGTAAACAGCAAATAAACCATCTAACTGCTGTGTGTTCATTCAGTTAACTGTTAACTCAGCAAAGATGCCCCGAGCACCTGCCAGGCCCTGGGCCCTACCCCTGCCCACGCCCTTCCACCTGGAGCCAGGGGCAGGCTGGGGGGCCAGGGGAGCTCCAGGAGTAAGCATAGGGATGGGAAGAGGAAAGTCATCCCTTCCCAGAACCCCCACCCCAGGTTCCTCAGACTCATTTCCCATGGGGCCCACGTCCGTTCCTTCCCGGTGTCCCCACGAGAGGTCCTTTGCTCCTGCCTCTGCTGTGTGGCACTCCTCCCCAGAGGCAGAAAGCACACATGTGGCCTGGCTGTTTGGATGCACCTGATGTCCCTCAGACCTGCCTGGCTTCTTGAAGATTTTGCAGATGAAGGTGATACAGCTGGAGCACCTGGTGCAGCTGAAGGACCTGCGGATCGCAGAGCTGACGCGACTGGGGACCGAGGAGTGCCGTGTGCCCCCGGGAGCCCCATCCTGAGCCAGCCAGACCCTGACCTTGAGCATGCAGAGCCTTGCTCCCACCAGTGGTTCTTCTGCGCGTCCCTGCACTGTCCAGCAGGCTCCGGGAGGGACGTCTGTATAAGGCACAGGTTTAGAAGCTAGAGTGGGGGTTGGGTTCCTGCTGGGGGTCACCTGGGGCCATACTGCCCCACAGATGGGTTTGGGACACAGCCAGTGGGGTTCTCTCCAGCCCCACGTTTCATCACTGCATCTGTGAACACACGAGGTTGTGCTGTGTGCTCTGTCTGGGCCTTGGGGTTGTTGCCCAGGGGGTGGGAATCATGGAGTGAGCCACACCAGAGTCTGAGAGATTCCACAGACAGGGCCCCAGGAAGTCACCTCCATCTGTGCTGGACTGTCCTGTGGAGGGAGGGCATGAGGGCCCATGAGAGGCCCTGAGAAAGTGAGCTGCCCACCTCACCTCCTCTGCCTAGGGAGGCTTTGGGAGCCAGGGTGGGGTGTGGAACCTGGGCCCACTGGCCTCTGCAGGCTTCATTCATCCTTGACCTGCTGCCTCCTCACTTCTGGGGTAGCTTGTATCTCAGGTCAGGGACACTGTGTGACCGAGGTGCACCTGACCCTGGTCAGCTAGAGGCGCAGGGCTGCGACTGGCTGGCCTCTGGGTCTGCCCCCTCGCTGGAGCATTCACAGTGCAGGCAGGGCTGGGCTGACTGGAGCCCCACTGCCTCATCACAGCTGCCCTCCCTCAGGGCCAGTTCCCTGTCTTCCTGGGAGAAGTGCCGACTCGGGTTAGGGTTTCAGAACCCATTTCCTCCCTGAGTCAGAGGCACATCCTGCTGCCCCTGCCCACCTGACCCTGAGTCACTTTACAGCCAGGAAGGCAGCTTCCTGATGACTGGCTCTGTCACCATCATCCTCGTCAGCAGCCTGGTGCCCAGAGCACTGCCCCTAGGAGAGCATCCCCAGCCCAGGTGACCAGGGAGGGGGATAAGGAGGGGGACAGCTGTGGGTGGCCCCACGGATTCCTGACGTCAGGAGTAGGGAAGTCTTTTCCTAAATCCCTAAGAGACGGGAGCTCCCAGGTCCCAGTGGCATAGCTGCATTGCACCTGGGGGCAGGGCAGGAAGTACGTGGACCGGGGCCAGGCATCCAAGTCAGCACAGGCCCTGCAGCTTCAGACCCCCTCCAGCTGGCCTGGCTGCTACTCTAGGCTGAGCCTGGGAATTCCAGGGGCCCCAGCACCTTCTCACTCCTTCCCTGGCCCCTCCAGGGCCCCTCGCTGCCCCCTGGGGCAGTGACAGTACAGGGCCAGCTGCTCTGCTCCAGGTGCCCTTGGCCTGAGTGCACACATGCGTGTGCATGGCCAGACACATGGGCGTCACACACAAACACGAATGCTCACACATGAGGCTGGTTGGCTTCTTGTTGAGGCTGAGTGTTGGCCTGAAGGAAGGCAGAGGCTTTGTATGTGTGTGTGCGTGTGTGTGTGTTTGCAGGTAGCACTGTGGGTTCACATACGTGACACTGTGCATGACACTCCATGGATGTGCGTGTGTGTGACTGACACCATGTGTGGTGCTGTCTGTGACCAGAGGTGTGTGATTTGATTCTGCATGTGTGGTGCTGTGTGCACGTACACACACAGGCACACAACTATGTTGCTGGCGCAGGTGGCCATGGCAGGGGCAGGGCCAGGTGGACCAAGGGGCTGTGTTTTCTGATGCTGTGAGGTTGTGCGAGGGTGCCCTGGGCTGTCTCCGTGGTCCACATCTGCCTGCTGGGCCCTGTGGGGCTGGGCCTTGGGTTGAACACAGGATGTAGCTCAGGAAATGGAAAACAAGGCCCAGGGTGACAGTGCCACTCTGGGAGGGACCCACTTCCCACTGGATCAGGTGCCATGCCAAGGACAAGAAGAGCCAAATAGGTGTGTCTTGGAAGCCTGGAGGCTGGCAGTTGTGCTCCATTCACCCGGAACACCCTGTTCAACTGAAGCTCGCCCACCCCAATCCAGGCCCCCAGGAGGTTCCCTACAGGGTCCAGGCAGAACCTCTGTGCAGGGCCCTGCAGCCAGGGTGGGACTGCATCCCACTGTCAGAGTTTAACCCTAATGCTGGCGGCTACTGGGGGGTGGAGCCTGGAGGGTGCCCGCCCCCAACAGTCACCTGGGCGGGGCCACTCAGCCATCCCACAGTGGCATCTGCACAGTGTCTACTCTAATGAGGTGCTGAATCCTGGGCCACTCTGCCTGGAGAGCGCCCCTCCCAGACTCTGGTTGTGTGCTGGGCAGAGAGTCTTGCCCTGGACCAGCAAACTGAGAACCTGGCTCTGGGACCCCCTGTACTCACAGCTCCAGGCCTTTGTGTCTTGGGCAACCATGATGCCCCTTCCCAGCCCTACCCTGTTGCTCTCGGGAGGCCCAGCTCTGCTGCCCGTGTGCCAAGGGGGCTTCCCGTGGGACCTCAGCCTGGGGCTTAAGCATCAGGAAAGTAGGCCACTCACACCATGAGCCGCCCCGAAGCTCCTGCCCTGGCTGAGGGACACCTGGTCTCTGGGGCTGGGGGAGGTATGCCTGGCACAGGCTCACCAAGTAAAGGCTTCTGGACCCTGTCTGGGGAGGGCGGCCCCAGCACAACCCCTCTTGTTCCTGCTGGTCCCCTTCCACCCATGCACTGTGCCCCGCACCCTGGGAGGTAGGGTCTGCCCCCACCTGGGACCCAAGCCTTCTGACACCAAGACGGCCTGACCCAGGGCTCTTGGGTCAAGTGCTTCAGGGTCCCCAGGAATGTTTGCTGTTGGGGTTAAAGGTTAAAGATTCTCCAGGGACAGCAGGATGGGAGGCAGCATGCAGGGGGTCGCTGGCACCTGACCTCCAACCAGCACTGAAGTGCATGCTTCACTGCGGTGCACTGTGCTTGCTCACAGAAGCACTGGTCCTGGCCACAGTGCAGAGATGCGGCGACACTAGGGAGCAAGCAGCGGAGCATCATCCGCCCAGACCATGCAGGTCACTTCCCACACGGGGAAAAGGTGGAAACGGGAATGCGCTGGATGCTCCTGCCCCAGGGCCAGGCCAGCAGGATCAGCTAGAAAGGAGGAGGGTGCCCCAGCCTCTCAGGCAGACTTTCCAGTGTGCTAGGTATTCCACAGCTGAGCAAAAGTGACGCAAACCTGTAATCACAGCGACTCAGGAAGTTGAAGCAGGAGAGTGACACGCTCGAGGCCAGCCTGGGCAACTTAGCGAGACCCTTTCTCAGAAAAAAAAAGGGGCTGGGTATATAGCTCAGGGGTAGTGCATCCCTGGGCTCAGCCCCCAGTACTGCAAAAGAATGATAGGTTTCAAGGGGAACTTCAGGGTACTCGAGGTGTGAACTGAGCTGCTACCATGCTGTCTGCAGAGGCCTGGGTGAGGGCTCCCCACCACTTCCTCATTTGCAAAATTGGGAAGTGTTGGAGCCCACCAGTGGCTCTGCTCCACCCCCTAGAGGTGGCCAGCTCACTGCCCCTGGCCCTCAGCCCTTGGCCAGGATGGCCCTAGGGCCAATCCAGTTTTCTTGTTCCTTCCGTGGCAACACTGGTCAGCAACATGGCAGCCCTGGACTTTAACGAGAGGGCCTGAATTTCTTCATTTTCCTTCCTTTTATGTCTTCCTCTTCTGATCCAAAAAGGACTTGAGAAGGCTCTTGCATGAGCCATATCAGTCAGAAATTAGCCAGGACTGCTGGGGAGGGCGCCTGGGTCACGGAACTCCTCTATGTAGGTAGGGAGAACGCAATATTGGCATCCAATTGGCCCCTTGACAGCCTGGGGCCTGCTCCCAGTATACCCCACTGAGGCCGGTGCCTGGATGGCCAGGGCCCGCGCAGGCTCCAGTGCTTCTGAAGATGGGAAGACATTTCAGAGCCCAACCGGAAACACCACATCTGACAGCTCTAGCCAGCAACCTTGGATGCTGCACCCCTGCCTGGCTCACGCCCTCATGGAGAGAGTGAGGAGGATAACAGGGTGTTCTGCCAGGACGTAGGAACCGCAGAATGACTGCTAAGTAAAGAGGAGATACTGAAGGGGCTGGCAGCTCTGGCCAGGGAGCAGTGGCTGCAAAGGCCCTGGGGCCAGGCTGGGGCTGAGGTGCTGGAGTGGGGAATGCAGGCAGGTGGCTGGATTGAAGAGACTGGACACACACACTAGGTGCCACTGCTGGAGCCCATTCTTGCACTTTAGAGAAGCAGGTGGGGGGGCGGGGACCCAGGGTCAGGGCTGTCACGGGGTGTGGTCAGGAGGTGCTGGGGTCCATGCCATGAACTTCCTCAGCTGGGAGGCTCTCTGTACCCACTGCACATAGCCTTCTGCACGGGTTAAGATTCTCTAGTCATTTAAGAATGAATGTCAGGGGAAATTTGCTGACTCTCTAGGCTGCATGGAGGTGGTAGAGGTGATGTCTCTGGTGACCAGAGACTTATGCTGAGCAGGTGCTGTCATGAAACACTGCAGTGTCCACTCAGGTCCAGCCTGGGGCAGTGACTCAGCATACCAGTAACTGCCCAAAGGTGACAAGAGAAGGAGGACAGGGACATCACAGAAGTCCAGTGTGTGGTGGAAAGGGGTCTTCAGAGTGAAAGTGACTGCAAGTGTGCCTCAGGAGGCCTTGGGGGACCCTACTCTCAGACACCCTGGGTGAGGACCCCTGCTCAGATGCGTCTGGAAGACTGCATGCTCGGCCCATGGAGCTGTTCCCGGCTTGTCCTGTGTCTCAGCTGCCTCCAGGCCTGCCTGAGGTGGCATCTGTGGGTTAAAGTCACAGCAGCTGCCTGCAGACCCCAGCCCAAGTCAGTGGGACCTGCTAGGTGCCCCAGAGAACACTGGTGTTGCCATGAAGCGGGAGGTGGGTGACCTTCAGAAAACCCATCGTTGAGTCCTGAACCTACACAAGGCCAACAGCTAGCACTGACCTTGTGGCCAAACCCCTACTTGGTTCTCAACTGCGAGTCTCCGTCGTAACAAGGTACTGTCTTATAATTAGGAAGCAAGGGAAGTAGTGGTTCCTAAACAGGTCTGCGAGTGTCCTGCTCTTGCTGTTTCACGTATCTGAAGTCCATTTTCATAACTTGGAAAGGGACATACATACATGCTTAAAAAGAAAATATAAAAATTCCCTCAAGAGCCATCCCTGGGGCCAGGTCGCATGAACAATGACCTCTCAGTCTCAGCCCCTGGTGTAACAATGACCTCACCCACAAAGATAGAGCCCAGTGGCAGGGAGATCC